ATCTAGTGTCAGTTTTGAGATGTTTGCTTTTTTTCCTGGTTTCCATGGTAAAATAAGAATTGAACTGAGCTGGTGTTGATTGCAAGGCAAGAAGATGTGTCTTGCTTCCTATGGAGAAATACCAATATCCAGCATGGGCTTAGGGTGCATAATACTGAAATGAAATTGGCACAGGCTGCCCAGGGAGGTGGTGGAGTCGCCATCTCTGGAAGTGTTCAAAAAACGTGTGGATGTGACACTTCAGGACATGGTTTAGGGAACATGGTGGTGCTGGATTAATGGTTGGTCTTGATGATCTTGAAGGTCCTTTCCAACCTTGGTGATTCAGTGATTCTGTGAAAAATCAAGCTGTTTTTCTTTCAGGGTGAATATAATAATGGATCTTCTTTATTGCTTTTGATTCGGTGGTTGTAGAAAAGGGTGATAATCCAAAGCAGTGACTGAATTTGACACAAATTCATGACTAGTTGTGGTAATTGTAAACTTCAAACATCAAGTATTAATTATAAAAAAATATTTCCTGAAGTCTCTGTTACAGTATTCACTTATCCAAAGGCAAGGCGCAATAAGGAGTATTTTTACAGTAGACCCTTGTCAGGAGTCAGAAGTACCTGGAAGCGAAGACTAGCAAACTTCAAACAACTGCCAGAAAGTCAGTATTAGCTGACACAACTGGAAGCACAGTTTTTAAATACAGTACCTACCAATGTAATTGGCAACCAACATGAATGGCATAAAACATACGGCTTAAAAAAACACTAATGATGTATATTTCAAAATTATTCTTTTTTATTTTAATTTGAAAATTAGGTAATTTTCTCCAGAGTTTTATGTTTCTCCGATTCTCAGTTTTTGTGGGAGGGAGAGACACAGTCATGAAATTATGTTTGGTATGTTTGGTACAGCTCACTTTTAGGGCATAGTCAATGGTTTTAATCTTCCTTGTGAAGATTGCTTGTATTCAACTTGATAGTTTGGTTTTTAAAAAATAAAATTAAAAAAATGGAAATCCGTTGCAAATAACAAACAGCAATAATTACAGTGGAAGTAAAATCAAGGCATTTTCCTTTTGAAGGACCAGCAGCCTCAGTGAGGTCTCCAGAGCAATTTCTGTTCCAGTGAATTAGCATCACTTAAGGATGTGGGGTAGCTGTTTGGGAAAAATAAAAAAAAATACATAGACCTTAGGTTTCTGTTTGTGGGCCAAATTAGATGCACATAAATTTCTTCCCCATTTTTGAATTCTATAAATTGCTGCTTATAATTTTCATTTAAAATCAAATATCTATGTCAGGTAAAACCCTCAGTATTCATTATAAAGCCTCTGAGAAATTGTACCAGGAAATTAACTTGGTGCCTTGTTGTAATCACTGTCTATAAAGATACAGTGAGTTAAGCTCCTACCAGTTTGGTATAGGCAGAAATACAGGGTAGAATGGAGTTCCTCAGGAGTTTCTTTTTCTAGTAATTTTTCTTTTTTCAGTATGTAAGCAGGGGTTTGTGAATGAAAATATTTCTCTTAAAGAAAAAAAAAATCACATTTACCTTGGCCTTTTTGCATTTTTAGATGTATCACAGAATCACAGAAACACTAGGTTGGAAAGGACCTTCAAGATCATCAAGTCCAACCATTAATCCAGCGCCACCATGTCCCCTAGACCATGTCCTGAAGTGCCACATCCACACGTTTTTTGAACACTTCCAGGAATAGCGACTCCACCACCTCCCTGGGCAGCCTGTACCAATGCCTGACCACCCTCTCAGTAAAGAGATTTTTCCTAATATCCAATCTAAACCTCCCCTGGCACAACTTGAGGCCATTTCCTCTTGTCCTATCACTAGTTACTTGGGAGAAGAGACCAACACCCACCTCACCACAACCCCCTTTCAGGCAGTTGTAGAGAGCGATGAGGGCTCCCCTCAGCCTCCTCTTCTCCAGACTGAACACCCCCAGTTCCCTCAGCCGCTCCTCATCAGACTTGTGCTCCAGACCCCTCACCAGCTCCGTTGCCCTTCTCTGGACAAGCATTTACACAGCGTTTGTCACTTTTCTCCTGAGCACTGAGGTTTCGGCAGTGCCTGGAAGGTTTCTTTGGGATGGGAGCAGGAGAGGTGCACGTGGCATAAAAAGAAGGCTGCTGGTGGGCAGAGCAGAGGACAGGAGGAAGAGTTGCTGTAACATGTGCTGGTGTTTGCTTCACACGGCAAAACCTGGGTGACGCAGGTATCCGTGGCGTGTTCTTAGTCATGGGTGTCTAAAGACAACAGAAGGAGAAAAGGCTGAATTTCTGTTAAACAACCTGTACCTCGGGTTTCGTCGTCTGTTTTGTTGATCTCAGTGCTTCAGTACAAAGAGCCGTGAAAGAGCTGGAATCTAACAGAATCTGTCAAACTGAAATTTTTCATGAGCTCCACTGGGATGATCTTTTAAAGATACAATATAAAGGCATGTATTTTCAGTATCTTTATTATCCTTAATAACTCTTTGTACTATAGTGGCCTTGGGAAACCACTAAGAGGGGAATTCTCCACAGTTCCAGGCTGCGTACCAAGTTGTGTCGGACATTTCATTAATATCATGTCTTACGAAGTGGGTCATTTTAATGCTTGCGACAGGGAAAAGGTGGTGCCATCGGGGTGGACACTCAGGTGGTGCTGCTCGGGGCAGACGGTGTAGGTCGCTGAGCTGCAGCACCTCTGGGTCAGCGCTCCCGGCCCCGCGCCGGCGTGC